ATTAATGATGGCAACCCCTACTGAAAGCTTGTACATCTGGTCATTCTATCAGCATTTAAGACTTCAAACAGGACTGATCCTGAATCAGTAGTTTATGGACTGCAGCCTTTGTTTATCCCTGCTGGATCCGTTAAAAAGACTAATCTAGTGACTGTGTACATACCATAAGATAGCTATCATGTTGTTCTTTTCCAGCATTCTGCAGAGGTCTTCATGGATAATTTCAGTTGTCTGTTAATGGAAATTATCACCAGATGTCTGCATGCTATATTTTACAGCTGTGTTATAATAGAATATATTTTGATATTTGTTCATGTTCTTTTAGTGATAAAAAGGAACTACCGTGCTTATGAAAATGGGTGCTTTCAGAATCAAAGGATTAAATATGATTCTGCACACACACTTTGGACATATTTTGTGTTTGAACCCCCAAAGAAATTAGGACTGTGGTGCTTCCAGATGCCATTTTCTTTGCTGCCTGGAGCCCAGTAGTATCTCTCTGTGACTTTCCCCTGGAAGGACACAGAATTATGGTCAAATGAAGTTCCAAATTTCAGTGGGCCCCAGCTAATAGGGCCCCCTAAAGAAGATGACTCTGGTCCTTATCACTGTGACTTCTTCTTCTCACCATCATAATAACCTCAACAGCCCATAAGACAAGGGCTTAGCAGCAATGGTTGCTGCTTGCACTCCTTTTTTGCTGCTGCTGGAGGAGCTCAGTAGTTCTGTTACAGCAGAATTTGGTCAGATATTCAAAGAACCCAACAGAAGGGGCATCAGGGCCTCCAAATGCAATAGTACCTAGTATACCATGTTATGAAGGACGTGAGGCAGTACACATAGCCACCTGAATGACTTTGCCCATAAGACCATAATGTCTTCTATCATCTCCTTTTTGTGTTCACCAAGTGTTGGAATAGACGACTGATGCATGTAAAATGTGGTCTGAATCAGTGGATTACATGCAGATCAATACTCTTCAGGTATCTTTAGGTAAAGGCAAATGTTCCCCTTGACAATTTTTGTCCAGTCGTGTTCGACTGTAGGGGGCGGTGCTCATCCTCATTTCCAAGTCATAGAGCCAGCGTTTGTCCAAAGACAGTTTCCATGGTCACGTGGCCAGCGTGACTAGACACGGACCACCATTACCTTCCCACCGATGTGGTACCTATTTATCTACTCGCATTTACGAGCTTTTGAACTGCTAGGTTGGCAGGAGCTGGGACAAGCAATGGGAGCTCACTCCGTCACATGGATTCGATCTTACAACTGCTGGTCTTCTGACCCTGCAGCCTAGAGGCTTCTGTGGTTTTTAACCCGCAGCACCACCACATCCCTCTCAGGCTTCTTTACCCTTTCTCTATCTCTGAGGTAACTGCCTGCTTCTTCCTTTTCCTAACTACACAGTTTTTTTTCCACAACAGCTATCAGCATGTGCATACAAGTCTTAAAAGATTCTGTAATGAGGTTTAGGGCTCCTTCCCTTGCACTACCCCTGAACTGAGTGCCAAACACAAAAAATATAAGTTCTTCCTCCTACCTAATTATGAGTTTCCAGAACAGTAACCTATATTTAATCATCAAAAGCTCAGCAGTAGTCTGATAACATAAACAGCATATATTCTTACATTAAGGAGCATTTATGCCTCATCCTCATTCTTTGTGTTATCACTGCCATTAATTCCTGCTATGTCCAAAGTAAGGTACTCAGTGTGGTGTAGTGGACAGCGTGACAGACTAGGACAGGAAACCTGGAGCTGAATCCCAACTCAGCAAGGGTTGCTGAGTGTTCTCCTCCTCTGTACCTCGGGCACATGTTGCAGCATATGAGTGATGCTAAACAAAATGGTGAGACCCAGTTGATATTATGGAGGCATTGGTCAAAAGTGCCCTCCATTTGCCTTTGGGATAGGAATAATTGCTAACCACACCCACCCCTGATTTATGGTGAAACACAAACTATATATGATGAACATATACCTATGTATAGCCATAGATTTCACTCAGCAAAGATGGTGGCTTGTTATGCTCTTCACTAGGCTTGACTGATGTTTTGAGGGGAAGGAGTGGAAATACAGGGTTTCTTCCACTGCCCATGGCACATTTCTGCTTGACAAGTGTTAAAGCTGAAAGTCCATTTGGCAGTACCAAATCTGCCAGAAAGCCTGTGTTGCTCAATGAGATTGTGCAGCTACAGCACCATCACCACCACAATTAATCAGCTAATGCAAACGGAAGCATCAAAGTACAAGGTAGGCTAATAAGTGCCTATGGATTGTCACAGTGTCCCCAAAAGATGGGTGCTGATACTGAGCCTGCTCCCCAGGAGCAAGAAACTCAGTTTCAGAGAGATATCACCAGAAGTCCATTATTTCTTTATTTAACATATTTTATCCTGCCTTTCTCCTTATGTACTCGCTCAGATGGACATAGATCCATCACTATATGATTGCCATAAATTACAGAGTCTAACATTCTTGTACTCTTTATTAACTAGATACTAGTGGTCAAGTCCTTAGATTACTTCTCTGGAATATTAAAACATTGTTTTAGACACAAAGAAGCACCGACTATTTGACTGGTCTCAAACCAAGGGAAAAAACTGACAGTTAAAATTAGTAGCTTCCTATGAATCCTGAAAATGAACTTCAGAAAATGCTGTGAATAACCATCACAGGGGACATGAGTGGTAGGGTACTATAGCACCCATTCTGCTTGTGTGTGGCTCATAGGCATCTGTTTGGCCACTGTGGGAAACAGGATGTTGGACTAGACAGTCTTTTAGTCCCATCCTGCTCAGTTCTTGTTATGACGAGAATAGTTTATCAAGATTAAAATTACTGAATATTAACAACTTACATAAATACTTCCCATATTTTCCTTAACCATAATCATTCTGCAAAATCTTTCTTGAAACAATATTTTACTTTCTCTGTGATATTTCTGTTAATAGTCCACCTGAGCAAGCAATCCATGTTATATCTTTACTACTAGCCTATTTAAATAAGATTGCAACACTGTGTGGCAAGCAGAAACTGTGTCCTGGACATACCATGCTGAACAGAATCTTAAAATTGAACTCATAGTTCTTGCAGTAGATCAAAGAGACTACTAGTTAAAACAGTTTTGTTCTACAAATGATTTGTAGAATCTTTGCTACGATGAACTAAAACATTTTTACATCTCCCATGTATTATTTGGGGAGTTACTTAATTTTTCATTCAATGCAAAAAACAGAGACCAGCTGTACACTAATGACATTGGAATAAGATCAGTAAACAGTGCTTTTCTCATAGAGAACATTACTGTGCTTCAGTAATTAGCATCAGTTCTGTAAAGAGTTATCAACAAGAGTCAAACAACATAATACAATTAATTCTACAGCAACCCTGTACCCAAAGGTTTAAACAAAACAAAAACCTCAGTATTGCAAGTCATAGCTCATCACCTTATCTACAGTAGGACTAGTAAGTACTAACCTACCTTACTAGGTTGTTGAAACAGTCCAATAAAAATCGTATATGCACTTTGCATACTAAAGAAACATGCTAAATAAATATTGAGCACCTACTTTACCTGAGCTAAATGATGAGTAATTGACTTGCATAATCTCGTGTCTGGGGGTTCAGCACAACTGACACTTGTGGAGTCGATGAATCTTGATTTGCTCATGGCCCTTGATCAGAACTAACTTCAGCTGAACTGATTATCAGAGTATCATTAATTATAATTAGAAATAACTCTGCACATGCCAACGTCCTCCCACCGGAAGATCTCCTCTCCATATGTTTGTTAAGGAGCTCCTTTGAGCCTTAACACTGGCTACCTTATTGAAAACAAAAATTTAAGATAAATGATCTGTTACCACTACCACCGTGCAGTGTTTTAATGCTTTTAATTAGACGTCGGAACGTTCGAGTCTCCAGGTATTTGACAAAACGGCTGCTCCCCTCATGCCTCGCCATTTGGCAACGTTTTGATGCCACCCCCGCCAAATCTTGCTTTCAGTGGGCCAATTCTATAAGGCTCCTTGACTTCAACGGGACTGATTCTTCTCGAGGCAGCAGATTCAGCACAATCCTAACGAATTCATGTCTTTGTGTGAGACCTTTTATTTGCCCTGGGAATTCATTTAAAGTGGCAGAATGGGGAGGGGTGAATTAAAACTGTCGCCAACAACGAGTTGAACGACAGGTAGTCGTTATTATCTGTAAGCCTCCCCTTCTCTTCAGCCAACGTGGAGTGCCTTTGTAACATGGGGGGGGGCGAAGGAGACACCGTAAATACAGCTGAGAGGGACGAGCTAAATCTCCCTCACGGGAGGACCCTCAGCGCCGAACTGACAAACGAGCTCTCCCGAGCTCAGTCTTCACCACCACCAAGATGTGCCTAACCGGATTGGAGCACTCACCTTTCAATGAAACCGGGTCTAGCCAATCCCGGAGTGCTCCCTCCCACCGCTTCAATCCTTTTTTTTGTGGAGTGGGGAGAGCTCGCGAGGGCATAACGCCTCCCTTCTTCGGGAGGCGGGAGCTTCGTCGGTGTCAAAGGAGGAGAAAGGGGGGGAGGGCTCGAGGTGTTCGCGGCTCTTGCCTGAGGGAACCCGTTTTTGCGCCGGGGAAGCCTCGTTTTCCTCTCCCTAAGGGCAAGATCCAGCCGCCGAGGGAAGGGAAGGCGGGCAAGCGAGAACGAGAGAAGCGGCGGGGGGGAGGAGGGCGAGTTCGTGCTCTCCCGCGGCAGCTCGGCCTCCTCCATGCCCGGAGGTTGGAGGCGGCGGGGACGACGACGAGGCTGCTTCTTTCGGGGTTCGCTGCCTGCGCGCTCCGCACGGCTCTGAGGCGAACGAGCGCGCCCGCTCTTACCTTCGTGAGCCTGGCCTCGGTCCCGGCATCTTTTGTTT